CTTCCAAGCCCTACCACTCTGTCAATCTGTGAAAAGTGCTCCCTCCCTATCTACCCTAATCCCAAATAAAAGGAAAGGCTAAGTAATAACTGAAAAATTTCAGTGCAGTAACTAACATGAAACAATTAAACAAAATGTGATGCTCTGTTTCCTTTATTTCCTACGGTTGGAAAGGGAGAGTAAGTGCCATAAGGAAAGCTTTCTGAAGAGAACATGCAAAATCAATTACTCCTCCTGGGATAAGCAGCTACTAAGTGACTATCTTGAGATTTACAGCTAGCTACTAGTTATCTCTCTGTGCTATTTAAGTAGGAAAAGGTGATTTAATAAAAAGCAATACATGTAAGCATTTTGGTCCAAAATCTGAAAAGCAGGTTCAAGATTGGTCTGTTTCTGACATGATTCCAGAAGGAAAGAGATACTAGTTTGCCCCTTGACAATACTCGGAAAAGCAACCAAACAAAAAGCCAGCATCAGATAGCTTGTTTTCCTTTCTACTCTGTAGACTTTTGTTCCTCTGGTACCCTTGAGCAATCCAATGGATACATTCCTAATGGAGGAGATATACAAAACTTGAAAGCACTCACAGCATTGCGTGCTCATTAACAATCATAACGATCAAAACCACAATGGAGTATTGTACTAACAGCCACAACTGGCAAAATAATACGATGGGAAATTGTAGCATCTATGCCTTATCGGCAGAGGAGGGGCAGTCTGCTCTATTCAATCCCTGCACAGCTCTGCCAGAGAGCAAAAGGAAACAGTGTTCCCATTTTAGCTTTCTGAATAGCAATGTTGTGTAAGTGTGGAGAAGAGACAATCCTTCATGAGATCTTTACCAGAGCACTTCTATGGCTATAAAGAGTGAAGACTTGCAGACAGAAATATTATAAGATTGAGAAATCTGCACATTGATCTAAATTCTGCCTACATACTAGTAGCACTGCACTTGAAAGATCTCTTTGTAATACATACTCACACTTTCTCAGCTTGCTGCACTTTAGACAGAAGGGGTAGAGCTAGGAGCAAGAGCTGAAGCAAAAATGTTTTTTCACACTTGCAAGAGACATCCCTTTTATCGTTTTTGCTCATATCACTGCAGAGGCCATCAGTTACCTCAATCAGTTCCATAAAAGCAAGAAGCCAGAACAAAGTTATATACTAGTCCATGACAAACAAAACAGATGGTCAAATATTTCTCCAGTTGCATTGCCACTTACCCTAGATCTACTGTAGATAGACTCCATCCAAAGCCTTGAGTGAAAAGGATGGTTTTTTCCCCTGTTGGTTTTCAGTAACTTTAATTTGGCTGTTTACAAAACACAGTTCATGTTGAGGACTGCCAGGATTAATTCCAGAAACACCAAGTTTCTAGAAACCATCACTGGAGGAAAATCAGTGGTAGAATCAGTGCATAGTTGTCACACTCTTCCTTAACCATTGTCAATGGGCTAAACAGTCTTGCCTGACTCAGTACAGGAGTATTTTCTTAGGCAATTAATTAATCTGCATGCTGTCATAGAATCACAGAATGGTTTGGGTTGGAAAGGACCTTAAAGACCATCTAGTTCAAACCCCCCCACCATGGGTAGGGACACCTTCCCTGGAAGTGTTCAAGGCTGGGCTAGATGAGGCTTTGAGCAACCTGGTCTAGTGAATGGGGCATCCAGAGCTTCTCTGGGCAACCTGTTCCAGTGCCTCACCACACTGTCCACAAGGTAAAGATGTAGGCCTTGGGTTTCAGTTATGATGAATTCCTGGGCTGCCATAGCTTTATAGCTACTTCCTCTTGCAATTATTGGGATTGATTCTTATTTCTTCCTCCCCTGCCATCAGAGAAAGCAAGGGTAATATTATTTCCTATCATTTCATGGGAAATCTTTAGCATAAGTGACTTTTTCCAGGCACCCAAATGTCAGTGAAGCTCATGCAAATCCCTAGGCGGACAAGGTACACTGGTTCACTTCAACAGGACAAAGCTGCATCAAGATCATCTATGCAAGATGATCAAATACTAGATGTAAAACTGAACTGTTGATTCGAGCTGAACAGAGGTCAACACAAGAATCCAATGTCACCACAGCAATTTTGCTTATATGAGGTCTTAAGAAGAGGGTATCAGCAAAAAATTACATCTTTAATAATCTCTAGCAGGTTGTAACTTTTGAAAGAGCAGTAAGTCAGTAACCATATTATACCAGTGAGATCAGCGACATTATAGCAGAGATCAGTGACAGCAGCAAACAACAGAAGGAAAAAAATCAGAGAGGAAGAGTCATATCTGGAAATGCCACTTAAATGTTGCTGAAAAATGAAATTCAAATATTCTCTGCATCCAGGCAACAGGGAGACACACAAAACTCAGCAGTAAATACCAGAACTATCCATTGTGCAGTAAAGAAGAGTTTTCATGAAGCCTATTATTCTTTTTTTCATGAAGCCTATTATTTTATATGCTTTTTCATGCCTGAGCAAACACTCTTTTCAGAGTGTGCAACAAAGCAATACTTGGTTTTTAATGGGACAGCCACAGTGTTTACATCAGATTAACGTTGATGTTTCGTGGGAGAACAGAAAGTGAGTACACAGATAAACAGGTAAAGTTGGTTGCAACAACTTGGAGTTTTTAGAATATTACACGTCTTAGAAACTAAGCTGTTTGCATTGCCTTTTTTTGCATTTTTCAGTATGCAGCAAAAACAAGCTGTCCTGTTGGCACCCCCTCTATATCTTCTCAATAACCATTAAAAAAATATATATATTTTTAAATAATGGTATTACTTCTATGAAGAAAATTAAAATATAGAAAAGACTCCTGAAAAAAATCCATGCTCTTCAACCTTAAAATACCCCAAACTTTGTTGAACAGGACTTTCAAAATAAAAAAAAAAAATCACCCAATCCCATGTCTGAACCTGTAATTTCTTAAGGGTTTATGACATGGTGTTAAAGTCTTTGATCATCATGTATCCCAGAATTATATTTTTACTGATGTTACTGTGACTTTTCCACTGCT